AAAAGCCTTGTCTCAAGAGTTCACATTCATTTAGATCTAGTATGGTGGCAATAAACAAGCCCATAATCCCATTTTGTTGACCACACCCAACATCACAAATGCAAACATGAATAAAAGACATAACAAGTACAGTCATGCAGCAAACTGACCTCTGCTTGTTCTGAACTAGTGGGCGTGTGGAGAATTTACTGTGTGGTCTGTGGGTTACGTTTCAATTTGATATTATACTTTTATTTTATTTATTTTTTTCACAAGAACGTAATTTCTGCACTTTCATGCTCTTGAAATGTAAAACATGGAATTGCACATCAATGACAGGAGATAAAAGAAGAGTTGTAGGCAATCTGCAGCAGTCAAACAGCTAAAAGATAGTAAATGAACCACAAAAGTCTACCTACAATAGTTTGATTAAACTGATGCCAGGATTCAAACATGAGGCTGCTCTGCTGACAAATGATGTTAAAGTTGTTAAACTTTGCATGTCATTTCAATTATGATAAAAGTTTGGATATCTGTCTTTAAAAGATAACCTGATATTAAATTCAACCTCTGATAGCCTTAACAATAGGTTAATGTAGATGGGTCTTAGTCACAGTAGGGATGAGTTGTGCTACAGAAATAAATATCATCCATAAAACATTGAATGTCCCCTTGCGAGATTATTAAAATATGTCTTCTTCATCTACAATGTTAAACACTTTCCAAGAGCCATTTTGTGCTAATGTATTGGCCTGCCCTTCTGCAGTTTACATTGAGTTTACATACATTAAAGATTCTTAGTATTTTAAAAACAAATAGTCCTTGACTTTAAATAGACGTAGACAAAAGCAGGTTTTTGTTCTCTAGCCGGCTGACTCTATTTTGACGGCTGAAATGGCAATACTCTAGCAGATATCATCACCTGTAGCTAGCAAGCTAATTAAGCTAACGTAATGCCAGATATGATAAAGTTTGCATTTTACGTTAGCAGACAACAGTATTTTTTGTTTTGAAAATGGTAAAATAAAAATTAAACCATGATCCAAACTCTTTATATGGAGACTCTTACAAATCCAAAGTTTGACAGGCCTGTTGTGACTCGTTATGCTTGCTAAGCTATGATTGGACTACTGCTGTTCAGGGGGAGGGGTTTGGCGAATAGTCAATTTACCTCAGCTTGCCTACCTCTGCTTCAGTAGTGATTTCACTGAAGTGACCCAGAATGTCTTTCACCACCCACTGAGGAATCTAAAGCAGCCAAATGAACATTTAAACACAGTAAACTAACCACTGTGGACATATCTCAAACTCTAAACAACATAAAGTTACTGTATGTTCTGGCTGCAGTGCATCCACTGAATGTGCGGTCACCTGAAATACTGGTATCTCTTACTGTTTTAACGTGGATTTCTAATGTGTCATTTTAAGCCTAACTGCAGAAATCCAGACAGAAAACTCTTTGATTCATAGTTAGTGACACCATATCCGAGTGTGCTGATGTTTTAAATAGCACTGTGGCCGTGCCAAAAATATCTCCAAGTGATCTGATACTGTCAACATCTGACCCGTTATCCATCAAGACAAAATAAATACAAACCCAATATTGCTTTTTATCAGTTAGTATATCAGAGTGAACTCTTTTAAACGACCCTCTTTATCTGCTCTATGTACTACTAATTTGTGGACCACACATGTACATCACTGAAGCAAGGTGAAGAAATTAAACCACTACAGGTCAGTAGGTGTTAAGTTACACTTTAAAAGACTGCAAAAAGTTCGCAGACAACATATTTCTTACAATATCCTCTCTTGCAATACAAAATCTGCTTAGAGCAACTAAAATATGATTCAACGTTTTTTTGGTTACACTTACAGCCTTAGTAAATATTTGGAAAAGATTATCGTTTTGGTTTGATACTGAAAATAATGACCAAGAGAAGACATGTTTTATTACAGAGGTCACTTATGCTCATTTTCAGGTTCAGGCATTTTATTTAGGAGCTGTATCAGAACAGGTTGACATAGTTTAACTTTAAAAAAAACACCATATTTTTGTCATCCTGAACATCGCTGTATCACCCCTGTGCGATAAAGACCCCATGAAATCAAAATCAATGTTTATTTGTTTTAATTGCATATGCCTTGCACTATATATGTCACCAATCCGCCAGCATCTGGCCCAACAATGATAAAGGACGCTGTTTTGTATGTATTCTGGATGGTATTTTAGAGTTAATTTCCTGGAAAATGATTTTAAAATTTTAATGACTCATCCTGCACTTGGGGGTGTGTATTAATTCAGCGTCCAATGAAGAATTTTCTAATTTTTATGACGCTACCGGAGTAGTGTTTGTGGTGGCCGACCGGACAAAAACACATCTTTATTAACCGATTTTGGTGAGACTGAATCATATTTGATGGAGATCAATATTTTCTGGTTCTTCCTCTGATGTCCCCCGGCTGCCCTGCCTCAGCTATCTGATTTACGGAGTTTGGGGATAAACAGATAGATTTACTTGTTGCTAAGTAGCTGCTGTTAGTTAGTTAGTTCTGTTAGCTGTCATATTAGCTGACTCTGCTTGGACTGTGAGTTCGGAGCACTGGGGGAGTGTTACCCCTAAAATCCATTGACTCCGGCAACGGCGTGTTACGGCTGCACCGTGGTTGCCGGAGCTAATTGTGGCCATTATAGTCAATGCTTGTGAGTCCACCAGATGCGGCCGCAGTGCGTCCCAGAAGCGTCTTAGTATTAGTAGTAGATTTTTATAGTTTCTGTTTTGCTGGCCCCAACAATACATACTATTTAATTTAATGTTCATTAGTAATAGTACTCTATAATTTATAATAAATCAGATATTTATAAAGATTTTTCTTTAGTTTATACATTTATTTTATTTTATTATATTACTTTTATTTATCAAACCCTTAAAATATTTTGTTGTACTTTTGTTCAAAGTACTATTTATAACAATAAAAAAAGTTTTTTTATTATGCATCATCTCATGGTATCTTGGTAGGGTCTCAACATAACAAATATTAGGGATAATCGTTGTTTATGTTATGCGTTTCTTAAAATAAGGGGGAAAAATAATTTCAGCCAATATATTGCCATATCGGATTTTAAAATCCTCAAATATCAAAATTGGCATCGGACTTGAAAAATCCCATATCGGTCGGGCTCTACCCGAAACACAGGCAGAACAACCTGAACCAGCTTCACAACCGAGACTGGAGCAAGACTTTTTAGAGTGATCACGTGTAACAAATTTATCTTTCATAAGTAAAGTTTTAACAGTGCACTGGACTTTTACTTTACAAACCTATTACATGCACAAAAAGATAAATACAATAAAAGAGAGGGAAAGCATAATGTGACCTCTATACATGTACTACTTTTATTAACATTTAACCAAGACCATCACCACAAAAGTGCTTTTGTTGCCTAAACCCAACCACGACTCTCAGTCACTCTATAAAATAATAATATAATGAATAGAAATAAAATAACCCAAGCAGTAATTATAATTCCTTCAAAATGTATTTGGCAAAGCAAATGAGTGGCATATATAGACATAATTTCTAAGAGACAGCGTTGCTTTAAAAAAAAAAAAAAAAAAAGTCTATGCTAAGGTTAGCAACTAGACTAGCAGCAGAAACAAGCAGAGGGAAATAGATGCCGATAATAGCTGTGGTCGTTAAGAAACACTCAAGGTTTCAACTCCACCTGGGGACCACAGCACACTCTGCCAGCTTTCTCTGGCCACCGATCCCATACAGCAGGATGTATAAAACAATACAGCTGTCTGCCTTGATCCACTCCACAGTTTGTCTCCACTACAATTACTCGCCTCAAGAAAACCCTTCTCATTCATCTTCTTTTTTTCCCCCTCCCAGTCCCTTGTTGCAGCAAATGAGAATCTGATGTTTTGCGGAGGAAGGACGGACCCCCACCCATCCTGCTTAGCTTGGGAGGTGGGATAGCATCTGTGTAATACGCACACATTGACAGGAAGTTTAACATTCCTCCCAACTTCCATCACTGGCCGGCAGCTGAGGCTGTTGCACAAATCTGGCAACGCTGTTCCATTAAGGTAAACCAAGCACTGGCCTGCTCCATAAAGGCCTCCACTCAGAGTTATAAATAAAAAGCAGTACACATTACCTCTGGAAATTAATGCAGCAGGATTTATTTTATCACCTGCTCTTGGCACGGATCTTACAATGTGAGAAATTTCTAAAGCTTGCCCATAAGGCTTTAAATTTAGGGCAGAGGCTTAAAAAGACATCCTCTGGTGCTGCCCTATAGCTGCCCTGTCAAAAGCATGACTTGCCTAAACAAAGACAAGGCCCCTTTCACCCCGCAAATTCCTTGACAACTGCTGCAAGCTTCCTGCTGGCATTTGATATGCTCCGCTTCGTTCCCATGACCAAACTCCAGTCATGCTGAGGCTTTCGCTGGGCGGTTGAAGGCTCGTCTCACTGACACGCTGAAGCTTTTCTGTACTCTCATGTGAAACTTTCCTCATTCTTTGAACCAGCCAGTGTGTCACAGTGAGTCAAAAGCGATTCAAGTTTAATTTTTTGCTTTCTATGTCCCAAAGCGCGCAGTAAAGGCTGAATGTCTTGCTTGCAATTACAAGGTGAGACACTGAGGAGCCACTGTGGGATATCATGTATAATTAGTTTTAACCTTAAGTGGTTAGGACCCAACCTTTTCTTTCTGCGATTTCTTCTTTTGGTTTCTTTTCACTGAAGTCAACATGAAGCCTTAAGAAAACTAAAACGATACAAAGCTGTTTAAAGTCATCCAAAGCTGTCTTATTGTTAGAAAAAAATAGTTTTTAAGAAGCTGCAGCTTTCACTTAGCAAGGCCATATGAACCATTGACCTTGTCATCACAACTTCCAACTCCTCTTGACTTATGTCTTGACAGTGCTCGTTCACTGGCATCGTACATGTAACCAGAAACATTCCCCCTTGGCCCCCTCCTCTCCGTCTCATCAGTGCTGGGGTAAACTCACCAAGCTGACTCTGTTTTTCCCAGCATGTGGTTGCCAGGTTGGACAGTTCCCGGTATTTCTCCGCCAACTGGAGTTTGCCGTTACAAAGGCGGGGTCGTCGGGCGAGGCTCTCTTCTGCCAAGCTCCGATTGGAGGTCAGCAGCATCTCCCTGTCCACTTGAAGATCCTGAAACTGAACAGAAGAATAAAGATTAGTCTATCATGCATGTGAGACAGCTGTGCAGTAGTGTGTATGCTGTTGCCCCAGAGACATTTTAAATTCCTGTAACATACATGTGGATTAGCTTTCAGTATTTTTGCTATATATTACAGCTGCAATGATTAATCAGTTAGTTGATCAACAGAAAGTTCATCTGCAACTATTTTTATGTTTGCATTAATCTTTAATTTAAGTAATTCTTTCAAGAAAAAAACTGGCTGTGAGGATTTGTTGCTTTTCTCTCTTGTATCATTATTTCTGGGGTTGGACTGTTGCTGCTGCTGTTTTTAACTAATTATTAAATGATTATTCTTTTCTTATACCGTATTGTTCCCGAGAGGAAATTCTGTTGTTCTCTGCATTTAACCAATCCTAATTAGGAGCAGTGGGCAGCTATTGTGCAGCGCCCAGGGAGCAATAACAGCTAAAATCCACTGACTCCGGCCGGCTACGGCGCGTTACGGCTGCGCCGCAGTTGTCGGATCTAACCGCAGCCATTGCAGTCAATGCTTTTGTCCACCAGACGCAGCCGCAGCACGTCCCTGAAGCGCCCCAGAAGCACCTCTCCGCTCCACAGAGAATAGGCCGCTCGCCGCGTCAACTAGCACAGAGCACATCGAACCAGGAAGGAAGTCAGACACAGAACGGCACAGAGAATCCAGTAAATTTAAAACATTAAACACGGTTAAAACGGACACAAAAGGAAATCATTTAACTACGTAGCCTACTTAATCATAGTAAAAGCACAAAATGCAAACACTGATTACCAAATCAACAACAATCTAAACATGTCAGCAAAATCATGCAGGCAAAACGCTCTGAAATTCTCACAGTGGGAAATGCAGCCTGAAGATGACGTAACAAAATGGGGTCACAGAGCTGTGAAGAAGGTAGTAGAAGCACGAAAATGACAAATTAATGACAAGTCAATAACGTGGGTCGGGCTGCACGCTCCGCTGCTGAAGCGCTTCTGAGACGCTTACAGCGGACTTTGACGCCGGGCTATGGACACATCAAACCCACGCAGCTGTAACATGCCTTAGCCGGAGTCAGTGGATTCTCGGCGTGAGGGGTTTGGGGCCTTGCTTAGGGGAACCTTCATTAATGGTCCTTGGTGGACTTCAACTTGCAACCCTCCGGTTCCTACGCCAAGTCCCCACAGACTGAGCTAATGCCGCCCTCAACTAAGAAAACTGACAAACAGAGAAATGTAAATTTATCTTTGGTGCACTGACTGACTGCACTGCTCATGGTGTTATAGAGGCACAGACAGTATTTATACATTCTTTGTTTCTCTACAATTGTAGGAACGTTATGTTGGTGCCTTGCAATAAATGGCTAAAAGGGAGTCCCAGTGGTTCTTGTTTTCCTATACAGTACACTGCAGAGTTAGTACCCACTGCGGCTGCATGAGTTCATACACCCTGAATGACCCTAGAGTTGGGAGGGAAATGCAGCTTAACTGAGAACATTTTCTGTTTATTTGAAAGCCACTGGGAGATGCCTGATACAATCATATTGGAGACAGGCGGCTTTATCTTCTGCTGCTAGCAAATGGAGGCTACACAGGACACTGAATCACCTGAAGGTTAAGTGTCCTGCTCAAGGGTACCTCAACACCACCTGCTGAAGGAGGGGAGAGGGTCCCCTCAGTCACATTCTCCACCCACATCCCAACCAAGCCAGCACCGGGAATACCACTGGTGTCTTTCCGGTCACAGGCCTGTGACATCTAATGTCAAACTAGACTTTGACTTCAACAAAGACCAAACAGACAATAGGCTGGAGGAGGGAATAAATACTGTGACAACTACAAAAGTCGCCGTCACAATCTCCTCCACCCTCTTTATTGGGGTGGATGTGGCTCAGGGGATAGAGCGGTTGTCCAATAATCAAAAAGGTCAGTGGTTCGATCCCCGGCTCCCATGGTCTGCATTTCGGTGGCATCACTGTGTGAATGTAATTTCTGATGTGCGGTTGGCATGTGAATGTGATGTAGTGTAAAGCGCTTTGAGTGGTTGGGAATAGACTAGAAAGGCGCTATACAAATACAGACCCTTTCCCATTACCGCCGGTCCTCCTTACATTATTATAGTCTCCTGTTACTGACGTCAAAAACGTATTTTTACTCCCCAATAAGACAGTCAGGAAAAACTCACACCCCATCTCCCATATCAACTGCTGCATGTAAGTTTTTGAAAACAGAATTATTTGTGTCTTACAAATATTTTTTTTTTCCAAAATCAAAGCATTTTGAAATAAAACTCTTTGAGCATTTGTGTTTTTGAGCTTGATAATGATGCTTTTTCAAAGTGAGTTTCGAAGCAAGACATTTAGACACCATCTTCGGAATAGATTACTTTAATCATCACTCCATGTTTGGATAATTAAACTCAATGTGACACCTACCAGTTCATATTACAGCCTAAACAGCCTGCCAACAAGAGTTTGTTACTGGAAAAATTCATTAGTCCTGCAGGACCCTGACAGGGAGAAAAGTACTACTACTACTACTACTACTACTACTACACAGAGAAACTTGTGTACAGAGCAGTAGAATTACTTCACTTTCCATAGTTGTGTATTTTTTAATTAATTAATTTTATTTGAATTTAAAACAGCACTATTCACTTCATTTAGTCACACATCAGCTCCTGATTGTGACTGATGTTTTGTTTGTCTCTACTTTCCCAACTTAAAAAAAAAAAATCAAAAGGCCTCCCCCCCCCCCATCACCATGATCAGCTCTTTGTGATCAATCTTCGGTTTAGACAATCTCCTCACTCACTAAATATTGCACAGCGGTAAGTACATTTACTCAGGTACTGTGAAACTTTAAATTTACTTGTACTTGTTCCATTTTATAGTACTTGTACTTATTATCTCTCCAGTGATCATTGTGATCAGTGAATCATATCTAACCGCTAATTATCTGGTGGCCCTAAACTAGCTAACTGTATATTAAAAAGTTTAAACTAATTCCACCTCGAGCATCTACAAGAGTAAAATGCTGCTCACACACTGATGCATCAATATTAAAAATTTAATAATGTTATATATAATATATCACAGTCACAGGGGACATTTTCAGCAGAACAAGTACTTTCACTTTTGATACTTTAAAAGGGTAAGAGTATTTACATCTATATGACTAACTGGGACAATCATTTTGAAATTGGTCCAGTACTGAAACAGGGTTGCAAAGTAATCCTTGGGGGCAATTGCGTTCTGTCACAGTACGTCCACTAAAGTGCTTGTTTTTGCCGGTGACAGGCTCAGATTGTTATTACGTGTCTGACAACATAATGGAAAGTCTCCCTACAGAGGGTAGACCTTTTTGTTAAAGAGTAAGATCATTTTTGTTTAACCAAAAACAGTCGCTTTCCCGCTCTCATCCAAACCACCAGACTCCCTTGACAAAAATAGTAATTTTATGTTTCTAGTCTACCAATTTAAAAAAAAAAAAAAGTTGTCTGAATTAGTTAAAGACACTTTAACATGTGAAAAATCGGTTGAAAGGTTGAAAGATCCAGAAGTCACACTTTAAGCACATTTTGCTTCCAGACTTTCGGATTTTGAATGCAGGACTTTTACTTGTAATGGAGTATTTTTTACTCTGCTATACTGGTACTTTGACTTAAGTAAAAGGATCTGAGTCCATCTTCCATTACTGAAATACCGGCCTCTTCTGTGTGATCTAGTCCCACTGCTCATTAAATTTCATACAAATTTTACAATTTCTTCTGACTTTGGTGGCTCTCTTTACTTCACGCGAGTCTGAAAAAAGCTAGAGGCGACATGAGCCTCATAAGGGAAAAATTATTTATGGGTCAAATGTCACAATTCTGGATGCTCTTGGGGGATTGAGAGATGGGGGTCGGGGTACGTGGATATGGGGGGAGGGGTGGGTAATCATTGTCACTAGACCATAAGCTATAAATAATTCAAATGAAAGCCACTCCCTTTAAGCCTCACCAAACAATACGGTCACAGCATTGATGTAAAGAAACAGTGTCTCAAACACTGACACAATGCCACTTTGTGAGCTTCACACTGCGATAAAGCTGAAACCTCTGACTATTTCATCAGTTTCAGCATTCCTATGATTCTGCCCAGCCGGATACTTTTCTTACTCAATTGCTTTCTTTCAGCAGTCAGTCACTTGGAGCCTGAGGGCTATTTCATTCAGTCCAGTGTTGTACGGTGCATCTGTCTCACATTTTACGGGTCATCAAAAGGATGTATGAGTCCCAAGTTTAGAGGAATTTACAGAATGTGCCCTTTAGTCAAAGGACTGTCTGTCTGAGTTCAGAATAAGATACTACAGATCTGCAGTTCATTCAAAAAAAGTCCTGCAAGAATAAAGATAACACAGTTAGTTTGCAGACTTACAGCCCAATCATCCATCCCGTTTTCCTTAAACAGGAGGCAAAACGGACAATCCATTTCCTGCTTTGGCAAGTCCGCCTCGTTTATCAAACAACAACTGCTGCAGTCTTTGGGGAGAGAGTGTTTTTTTTGTATTTTGATGCATAGGCTGTAAAGTAAGGCCGACAGTGTTTACAATCCCTGACAAATGACACTTGGGGAGCACTTAGGAGTCGCGAGCTCAGCGCTGGAGAAGACGAAGAGCAACACTGTTGTTTTCTGTTTTATTTTGAACACATCTGGCCACGTGAAATGCAGCAAATAGGTGTTTCTCTTTCATCTTAAATGAGCCTTTAAGCTTAATTAGGCTTCTGCAGTCCGAAGCCACAAAAGCAAAAGTACTTTTGAAAGAGAATTCTTCATGCAACGTCAGGCCTGTATTCAACTGAATTGAAAACTTATAGCACTTGCAACATTTGGGATGAGTTTAAAGAAGCTATGATCATTTTTAAAATTTTAATGAAAGGTTTAAATGAATGTAATGTGAAAGCTGTAGTGTGTAGTGATGAAACCACAGTTGCCCCGAGCTTTACACCTTTTCTTTTTTTCCAGCTTGCAACTTTACAGTCTTGCATGGTGTCATTTCCGACCACAGCAGGCAGCACTTCTCTCTGACAAAGCTCCAATACACCCACTGCACACTACCTGCTTGGCATTAAACAGCAGACACTCAAAAGTTAGCGACTAGCTGGGTCACAAAGTGGAGCATTTAGCAGCTGAAGAGTGTGATATTTTTATCAGGAGATGGTACAAACCAAAACAGTGCTAAAAGAAGACTGAATACTGGGTACAGTATTATATTCACCAGTTGGCCAAAATAGGTGCTAAATAGTTAACTGTTCATCAAGCTCATCACATGATGTGTTTACCGCTTGTTTTTTTTTTTCACATTTTAAAAAGGAAAATTCCCCCATCAGGTACTCTTGAACACCATTAATTTGTAATGCTATCAGATACTAATGAGTTTTTCATATGACAAATAGGGCTGGGATTGTTAAAAATGTCATTACAAGTCTTTACAATTTGAGGAAAACTTAGATTTTTCTGACCAATTTTGTCATTGTGATTTTGGGGTCTCCATATTTTTTAAACATATGTTTGTACCAAGCATAATCACATATTAATATTAAAGAAATTTTGTAGTTAAAATTGCTAGTTTTTTTTTATAAGTGCTGGTAGGTGGATTTTGTTATCTTTGACCACAGCCAGAGCTAGTTGCCCCTGTTTTCAGTTTTTAAGCTAAGCCAAGCTAACCTTACCAGCTGGTGGCTATATTTAAAAAGCAGATTTCCAAAAATGTCAAACTTCTCCTTTAAATGTTGCCTAAAATCAAGCATCCGTACATGAACTTTGAAATGCTAAATTTTGGTTTCAACCCGAAACTATCTGATCAAAGAATAACTAAACAAAACTACATATCTGACAAGCTTTTAGTACTTTTCAATGCTCATTGCCAGCCCCATTGATTAAGTGTTTTATGACCCATTTGATCATATTTGTTTACCTCAGTTTGTTATTGGGTGACGAACTCCTAAGCCTCAACAGGATGCTGCAGCTGCAGTGCATTTAAGGCTGCCATGGTCTCAACACGCCTTTGTTTCTTTTATTATGCGAATGTTCCAGTAAACTAGTTTCTGGATTAATACAAATATGCATAAATCTGCATGATTGCTTAGGGACACTCTAGAAAGAAGCTCTTGTAGCTCTGACTGCAAAAACTGACATTATGTTTCAGATCATTGCACTACAATGAAATATCATGACATGTTGTGTAGCCCGTTGAAAATGAGAATATGAAGAACACTCCACCAATCAGGCTGGAAAATTCATGATAATGAATCATAATGAATGATTTAACTCAGTGGTTTACATAACATTCATCATTAATAGGAGATTAATGGAGCGCTCTGCTCCCAGAGCTCATATGGAGATGAGGGGAGGGTGTTGAAACCAGTCATGATAATATTTACTCCATGTTTGATATTTTCTACACAGACTAAAGTAGCTTACATCACTGGGAGCCAGGCTTCTTGTTGGATAAATGTCCTCTGCAAACACAAGTATTATTAGTTAATGATAGATAAATGAGAGCCTGGATGACTGGTTGCTGAAAGACCCCCCCAAGCTCTCAGGATCTTGGCTTTGGAGTCATCGCTCTGCTCCCGCGGGAGGATTGTATGACCTCTTGGTGAGATTCAACTACTGTGGCCCCATCATCCCGATTCATTCACAGAGTTAGGTTTCAAATGTCACAACCTTCACCAAGAACCGGGCAAATGCATGATGTCTTTCTTTGTTTCTAAGCAAAAATCACATGAAGGTCAGCCTTTGGCTTCTCAATAAATCAAGGAAGAAGAGTGTATTTGAGGACAGCAATGCACCTCAAAGTGGAGTCCAGCTATATCAATAGTTGAATTTCTTTAAATATTTAACTCCTTGTCCTTTGATGTTTGCTAGCAGAACATGTGTCTGGCTGACTATCCCACCCTGGTTATGTTTCACTGCACACACAGTGTTGTAATCACTCCACCCATAGCTCTGAAAGCCATGCAAGCCAGAGTCTTTTCTGTTTGAGCAACCCCCCAAAGGCAAACCTAATCAAAATGGGGCCCAAGAAAAAGTTTGGGAACCACTGCTGCACCTTGTATATATGGGTGTGTGTGCCTGAGAGAGACAGAGAGTGTGATGTAGTTTAAATTTACGTCAGGATGGTCATCCTGTGGCCCCCGAAATGTCCCTCTCTGACATGGAGAGAAAGGCACGTGGAATTCCTTTAAAAATCGGACTATTTTTATTTGCCATGGTTAAACACAAAGCTGCACCCATGAAAGAATAGGATTTAAGGCGTTTTCTGATTGTCAAGAGACCACTGCTTAAATCGGCATACATCCAATACATCAATAAGCAACTTACTGCCGTAAAAGTATACTTTTATTCAGAAAACAACACTGCTCACCAACGTACCGTTTGAGGGAATAGGACTGAGGGCGACCAGTTTTAAAAGTTGACATTTTAGTCAAATAAGTCTTAATATATGTACTGAAATTATGCCGAATTGAATTGTTTGCCGTAAGAAATCTATTATTTTCTCAAATTATCTTCTACTTCGTATGCAGGTTCTCTGCCGGACAAAGAAGGACTACATTGCCATCTTTTTTAAATGGAGTTCGGCAAAAGGTCTAAAACCACATAACGGCGCGTATGGGGTCTTCAACACCTCGATATGAAGCTTCCTGCACGATAAGAACGTTTGTAGAATAAAACAATCACTTGTACAGACCGCACAAATCAAGGCATGCGTCTTTTATCTTCGCTTCAGTAACTAATAATTCACCGCAAATATTAGGAGACGGGGGTTTCTGAAAACCAATTGAAAATCCGAACACTCGCCACGCAGACAATCGATGAACCATGTAAAGCGGCTTTGCGTTACACACTGAACATCAAATGTGATGACCAAAAACACCTAAACGCAAATTTCCAGGAATGAGAAAAAAAGTACAGCCCGAAAACGACGGAATCGCACCGTTAAAAATAAAAGAAGAGGTTTGACAAAGCGTGAATACTGAGCAAATTCCTTACGGCACTTTGGTTCTTTGGGGAACAGAGGATAACGTTACCTACCTTCTCATTGAGTCGAAGGATTTGGTCCATTTTGTCGTCGTTCTGCAAAAGCTCCTGCAGCTCACTCGTGCTTAAAGCCCTGTAGCCGTCAGGACAAGTGTTGGACTCCTTCAACTTGGACATTTTATTCCTTCAAATTGCGGCTCAAGACGGTTTGGAAGTCCGCACAGCGGTTACATCTCGCGCACATTGGAATGCGATGCAATCAGCCCGCATGCAGCGTCAATACAAACACCAACCGTCAGCCGTTACACTTCCTGTCATCCCCTTCAAAATAAAACACATTCCACTCCCCTCAACACTTAACAGCATCTGACTCAAATCAACTGACTGCATTTACTCAACTTTGAGGTACTTGTACTTTACTTTTATGCATCAATATTCCCTTCGCTTCTGTTTTCTAACAGTATTGTCTATTGTTTATATTTATTGATTCCAACTAATACTGTGGTCATGCTAACAAATTTTCCGACACTTTTCAACAGTATCTGACTCCGTGGTGGAAATAAACTAACTAAACTTCGAGGTACTTGTAATTTACTTTAGTATTTGCATTTTCTGCTTTACAATCCACTCCAATACAGTGCAGTGTTTTTACTCTACTACATGTATTTGATACATTTAGGCTAGTTACTTTGCAGAATCAGATCAATACTACAAAATATAATCAACAAATAAATAATGATGTATAATTATAGTGTAGAAAGCTAAATAAAGATTTGCCCCACCTTTACCAGCTGCAACAATTTTACTTATAACAAAGTATTTTTACACTGTGGTGTAGTTACTTTAACTAAGTACTAAGTAAACATTTATCTAAGTAGAGGTTTGAAATACTACTTCCACCACTGGTGTACTGAATCTAAATGACCTAACACTAAAGTAATACTTGACCCCAGGGTTGCTGTGTGGTTATTAGATCTGAAACGATTTTGATTAATCGATAAGTCGATTGACAGTGAAATGATTAGCAAATACTTTGATAATTGATTCATCTTAGAGATAATTTTTAAAGCAAAAACACATTATACCATTCCAGTTTCTACATTGTGAGGATTTGCTGCTGTTAGCTTATGTGATTGTAAACTGAATATATTTTGGGTTTTTGGTTGGCTTTTGGAAATTGTGAATTGTGGAGCTTTGACATTTTATAGTTTCATGAAAACTTTTATAGTTGATGTTGTGATTTAGTGGTACATATTCCCAGATAAAGATACCTGTCTACTTATTTCTTACTTTGTAATGAATTGAAGATTAACACATTTGTATTTGTGACAACTGTCCTTTTCGTCTGTGTTAAACTTGCACCTTTAGCTCTAGCTTTACTTCGGTTTTAGATTTTTCAACATTGAGGTCCTCACGACTAGTTGCAGTTTCCCCCCCCCTACAATTTTAGACACCAAAAATTAATTAATTAATAATAATTATAATAATAATTAATAGCAACAACAGAGTTAGCATTCATAAACAGTAAATAAACATTAAATACATGGTTTATAACACACTATAATGTAGCTGTAAGCAAGTGTTTATTTGTCAACTATAACGCCTCCTGTGGGCAACTCAAAGTGAAGGCTGCTGTATAATATGAATTACATCATAGGCTAGTAAAACACCGTTGTAATAATATAAAATATGTCTTCATAGGAGAAGTGATAATTATTGACAAATACCGCACATTAATAAACAAAATGTAATAAGATCTGCTTGCAACTACATTATGGTGTGTTGTAAACCATTTATTAAATATTTATTTTCTGCTTATAAAGGCTAAATAGTATACCACTGTCAAAATAATCTTTATCATATTACTAGTTCATTCTTCCACCAGGCCATTGGATACTGGATAATGGCTGCTAGGTAAAAAAAAAAAAATGTAATCTGTAATTTCATCAGCATTTTGCCTCAATGAATTTCATGTGTTTCAGCTTTTTTTTTTTTGTGCCCAAAAGACTTTCACTTGCTTTTAATTGACCTGTTCATTAAACCCGGAAACCATGGCAGACTCTCTGCGTCCAAACCCAATTTATATCCATTAAACTCTTCAGGACCAAGTGCAGCAGTGACTGAAGAGATATTATTATGTGGTCAGTGTGAGGCATTATTTGATGTATGTGTGGAAGTTTAATGTTGACGCGGAGTTAGACCATCTACATAGCTCACCAAGCTACTGGCTCCAGGCATTTTTTCATTAACAGTGTCCAGCTGCCCTGTCTGCAATCTAATATTTGGACTCAGCATGGCCAGCCTGAGGCATAAACAAAGGGTATAAACTGACCTAGAGGCTGTTAAGGACCCTGCTGCCACCAGGTGGATGGATGAAGGTGACTAAAGTTACTTCAACTATTTTTGAGCATGGAGGATCAAATTCTGCTCAGGGCCCCAAAACCTTTGGGAACACCAATTTATTTTAAAAAGAGACTGGAAGTAGATTTAGTCACGATCTGTACTCAAGTATGAGGTTCAGGTACTTGTCCTTGAGTATTTCCATTTTATGCTGCTTCATACTTCTTCCCCACTACATTTCAGACACAAATATTGTAGTCTACTCTTTACTCAACTACATTAATTTGACAGGTTTAGTGAGTCTACTACTGCTTTTTAGGTTAAAGGTCAGAAGCTTCTAAATACCATGTTAAAGATTAAACCAGTTGTTTCCAACCTTTTAAGAAATCTACATACAATTTTGCACACAGAACAACGCACCAGGGGAGCAGTTAGGGCTCAGAGCCTCGCTCTCGGCAGTGGTCTGTGCTGGACTTGAACTGGCGACCGCCCGGTTCCCAAGACAAGTACCCATGGATTGAGCTAACACAGCGTTTTTGGTACTTTACAAAAAGTGTATTCCAAGTTGTCCGTTGTTTCATTTCAGATGTCTTTGAGTTCTTACCAGTTCCACCAAAGAGACATTTACTCTAAATCTCTCACATGGTTTAATTTAAATGACAGTTTGAGCACCAAAGAGGTGAAATGATCAAATATAAATATTATTATAATTTAAAATGCTTTAATTAATGTATTAACGTTAATAAACCATTAACTAATCCTTTGTAGATTGTTTGTAAGCCATTAATGAAAATTATCCTCCTCCAGCATAACACTTGCTTTGTTGTTTTAGCTCTAATTCACTGGTGAAATGTGATTTAATTTGAGTTAATTAAAGATTTATTAACATTTGTAATTGCAGTGTAAAAACCCTTTATTGATATACTTTTGAAGCAGAGCTTTTTTTCCTTTCCTATACCTCATTAATCATCTTTCGACCCCTTAGATTTATCTTGTGACCACGTGGAGGGGTTTGACCCCTAGGTTGGGAACCATTGGACTGAACTACCAAACTTAATAATTCATAATTGATATATCAGTCATTTGGTCCTTTTTCTGCAGATCAAGTACTTGTACTTTTGATACTTTAAGTACATTTAGCTAATAATACTGCTGTACTTTTACTTGAGCAGGATGTCAGTGCTTGTTCCACCATTAATGTTATGTTTTTAGAAGTCTCCACAATTTGACTTTAACTACCTTTGACAACGCTTCTGATTTTTGAGTAGTCAGGAAATGAACTCAAGGTTTGGTTTCTTACTATTTGGTCGGCTGCAGGAGACCCACATCACCACTTTTGCTGACTGTTGCTGCAGTTTTTGCCAAACACTGGTAAGATGCATAAACTCTTGGTTTCAGTGGACACAGCGCTTGTTCGCTTTTGTGGCTTGAGGAACGTGACGGTTACTAGTCAGACATGAAAAGAAAGTATTGGCTTTCTAACCATGTATTGCAAATGCACCCTTCCCCTCTCAGAATATGTGAATCATCATTTTAAGAGACTCTTGGTGACTCTCAAGCTCTCTTCAGTTCTGGAGGAGATGATATTTTCGTTTTCAACGTGTGGGTGTCTTGTTAAGGAGCTTAATAATTGTCCTGAGGGTCAACCTTAAGGATCACTTTTGTCTTGCTAGATCCATCCATCCATCCATCCATCTATCCATCTATCTATTACTTGAATAAAAATAACATATAAATTACAAATCATTTGTTTTATCTCGCTCCGAGAGACAGCCCATCTTGGCCAACCTCAAGCACAGATACAGAAGGAGAGGAGAGACTGACAGACCATACGAGTAAATCTTTATGAATATTTTGGTGCTCATTTTTCCAAAAAATGAACGACTGAATTGTGGAGAATCTAACCAAGGTACGATGTGTGGCATATCTGTATTGACAAAAGTCAAACACTTATATCTGTAGGTGCGATCTCAGCAGCTTAGAACTAGCGCAAGAGGGTGAACTGGTGGGCTTCAAGAAGTTTAAATCTAGAGACCTGTGTTTATTTGTCAAAATGTGTAACCACATCAGTCCAGTAAAAGAAACAGGCGTCTAAGTGGGACTAGGCTTTTAATTGAAGTTTAGCAGTATATATACAGCCATCTATATACACACACATATTCACATGGGGCGGTTTGTTTCCCTTTATGATTTGTGTGATAACCCTAGATAATGATACCTTTTTGCACAATTTAATAGCTGTAATATATCTAATACACAAGCACTTCTGCTAAATTAATCCGCAATGCTTAAAGGAATTTGATAACTGCTAAGAAAAAAAAAACATTTTACCAACCTAAGGGTCCAAGAGGCTGAAGAGCAAGCAAGAAACACAATCATATGGGGCAAATCACACCCAAGAAGAGAACATGTATTATTCATTGTAAAACAAGGGACATTAGAAAATATTTTTCTAGTGTTCTGGCTTTTGAAAAGAAAGAAATAGACCTTTTTCACAGCAGATATTTTGACTTGTCATATAGCAGGAAAAGCACAGGTAAAACAAATTTATTAAACAATGGCTCAGCTCCGTCAATTCATGACAGTGAGCCAGCATAATGTCTACTGAGAAAATGGTCTGTGAGCTTCAAGAGAGCTCAAAATTTTAAACTTTTGGATTGGTTCATGTGCAGGAGAAACTTTTAAAGGTGAAAACTTCTGTTAAGAATATCACAAGAAATAGAAAAACTTCTGGGAAGACAGTGGATAGTTTTTTTTATGAGACAGTTAATGTTGCAAAAGCTAAGATGTCATGATCCATTAAAGTACAAGCATTTCTTTCCTTTCAAAGCAGTGTCACTTTTTGCCATGGCGCTGGAACGAAGATATCTGCCACAAAAACCTCTCTCAAGAGAAAACTGATGAACTTAAAGAGGTACAGAATCAGTCATTAGGAACAAATCTAAAGGCAGAGATGACACATTCTCCAAATGCAAGCGAGGCTCAGGTGCAAAGTCAAAGCGGACCGCAGGGGGCAGCCTGGTGACAGCAGAGGAATCCATCATGCAGTTTCTTGACTTTTCTAGTTGTCAAAGTATGTTCTGTGCAAATGTCAACCTATATGCTCACTCAAATATCATATTTGGAAGCTTAAAGGACATATATATAGAATATTACCAGACTTAGTGATATTCTATACTTGTGTGATTGTCAACAAATCCCTTGAAAACATCTAAAACTAAACTTAAACCAATTCGTCAGTCATTTAGTATTGTCTGACTTTCCTACCCGCTCTGTGCCTCTTTGGCTTATGTTCCTTCTGAAAGTGTAAATCTTTACAGCTGTGTCATTTGGAAAAAAGGCTAAATGATTTCATGAACCAGCTGGGCGCTGTAGTTTTTAGAAAACATTAAACAGGATTAAACAGTGCATTTGACAGGGACTGTTTTCAACAATAGATAAAGATTTTTCTTTTTATGTGATTTGTTGACAATAAGAAAAATAAATTTAATGTGATTTTAAAATATTAAAAAATAAGAATTTCTAAGTTTTAAAAGTCTGTTTGTGTACGAATAAAACAAACAAGACCTAACATGTTAGCCAACGACATGCTAAGCTGAGCTAATGGCCTCCCGGCTAAACAATAATATCCAAACATAAAAAGTATAATTTTATTTGGATGCATCTGCGTTTCGTTGCTTTGTACCAGTTACATGCGCAATGACAATAAAATTAAATCTAATCTAATCTCATTTGTATAGACCACCACCATCTGATCAATTTGTCAAGGTGTTTCCAATAATTAAACAAATATTTAAACTATGTACATGAGTCAAATAATTGTTGATTGTCCAATACGGCCACATACTATAGAATAATAGTAACTATAAATAAACTGTTTACAATGTTGGTTAAAGTTAGAATGAATGTGTTAAAGGTCATAAGAGTAGAATCAAACCTTTCTCTCCCTGTTATATCACTTACACTGTCAGAACTGTTCTTTGTGCTTCTCTCCATAAGTTGCACAAAATATACACATTTATGTCCTTTATGTTCTACTTCATGAATATTAAACAAAACTATAAACAATCAAAAAAAACAAACGTCAAAAAGAAATCTGTGGCAAGGTAAAGTGATTCTGATCTCTCTGCTCTGCAGGATCCAGAAGATGATAAAGTCAAAAGTGTCTCTCTCCTGTTCTCTTGTGGTCTTATCCCACGTCGTCGTAGTCCTCTTCAGCCTCGTTTTCGTTTTCACCTCCGATGTCATCGTAGTCCTCTGTGGAGGAGTTGTCTTCTGCTGGATCCTCGCATGGTGGAGGAGGAGGGAGAATTTCCTCTTCATCCACCTTCACATAGTCAGGCTGTTCGTCCAGGCTCTGCACGTCTGCTATTTGCTCGTAGTCTTGCATGCTCTGCACATCGTCTGGTGTGCTCTGCTCATAGTCTGCTATGTTCTGCTCGTAGTCTGGCATGCTCTGCACATAGTCTGGTGTGCTCTGCACATAGTCTGGTGTGCTCTGCACATAGTCTGGCATGCTCTGCACATAGTCTGGTGTGCTCTGCACATAGTCTGGTGTGCTCTGCTCATATTCAGGTGCCTCAGCCAGGTTCTCATAGCTTTGGGCCTCTGAAACAACACATTTGTTCAAGCAGAGTTCATTAGGCCTATTACATTTTTGAGTTAATAATGTAGTGGTTTGGTGATAATATAATAATGGAAAATGTGATGGGGGTTTAGGGTCTAGTGTTATGCATTTCTAAAAATAGGGTAAGGGTTAAAACTCATCCAAAACTCAATTAGGATGGCTATAGAGTACGTATCACAGGAAATAGGCTGTGGGTATAACGTTTACATGTACTCATTTGGCAGACGCTTTTATCCAAAGCCACTTACATTTGAGGAACAACCTAAGCATTAGTAAAGAGATCTCCAAGTGACAATAGTTACTGGTAAGAGCAGCAATAAATACTATTAAGAGCTACAAGCGCATACAGCCTCGATGGGATAAATAGGGGAAGTAAGAGTTGACGACTAGTGCAATCAATAAAGGAGAACGGTAAGGAGATAGAAGAAGATCACAGGAAGTGCATGTTGGAGGTTATGGGTTAGATAGGGGTGTTAAAAGAGGAAGTGTTCTCACAAGAGATGAGTTTTCAAGAGCTTCTTGAATTTAGAGAGGGATGCACACCCCCTGCTCTGATGGCATGTGGCAGGTCGTTTCACCATCGAGGTGTCACAGATGAGAACAGCCTGTTATTGGCTGACTATCTCAGCTGGAATTATCCTCTCGGCTACCATCGCTGCATCAAAGACAATTTTGATTGGTTTAAAGAAATACAAACAAAAAACTGTGTGCACACTTAACATTTTGAGTTACATTTCCAGTGTGAACATCAGACTAAAATCCTGCTTTTATCAGAATGAATAATAATTATGTGGTATGGAATTGGGGCACTGTGTAAATTACTGTGACATAGCCGCTTTCACTTAAAGGAATAGTTCAACATTTTGGGAAAGACTGAATTTCGCTTTCTGGTGGAGAGTTAGACAAGACGATGTCTAAGGGAGTTATAACAGAGGTCATGTGCTGGACTTTTGCTGCTCGGATGGGCCTGTTTCCCAAAATGGAAAATCGTTCTGAGTTTGGCGCGTCCATGAGCTTTAAGTCGTAATGTGGAAACAAAATGGAAGTTTTTGTATAGCGTCTGGCGATGGGCTGTTATATGTATGATGTAGCTATCCAAGTTTGCTGAAACAGTTAGGAGCTTAGTGATTTTGTCCGAGATTTGTTGCTGCACCAGTACATTTACTAAAACCATTAATAACCTGACTTGTTATCACAGTTAAAGCTTGTAAATAACTAATCTAGGTGACTCTTCCTGGATAGAAACCATGGGTTACAGCATAATACCATATTACAAATCACATGAGAGCAAAACATTGATTCTGACTAATATGAGGTCAGCTCCGTAAGTCGTGTACCAAAATCTTCACCGACTTTTTGAGTTGTTGTTCCAATTTGAGGGGGCGTTAAGTTCCCAGTTGGAAACAAAATTTTCTTATTATTCCGGCACCACATGAATGCAGGGTTTCTGTTGTTCCCACATTACGTAAAGCTACAAAAATATCTTAATGCGTGTGACTAAAATTAGCAGTGCTAAGTTTAGAGTTAAGTTGGACTCTTATTTATGTTTTTCACACCTCGCTAATTACAGGTACAGCTTATAAAATTGCAGTTAAAAGCTTTTATAAGCTACTGTTTATCCCTCCACAGTTGCTTGATTTACAGGATTTACATGGACACGTCACTGTGCCAAAACAAACAAACATTTACTTTGGTATGATTTGTAAAATAACAATACTGGCCCTTTTCTTGTTTGGCCTTACTGTGAACATCCAACACTACTCACTCAGTCTGATTTAGTGATGCTTGGATGAACTTTGGTTCAGAAACGCTAGCTTGAATTAGAACATGTGGTTCTCTGTTGGATCTGAGTCCAGTTTCTGGGGTTTTTGCGAAAACAAAAGTCACAGAGGGTGATTTTTCACAGCCCTTTATGTTGTGTAACTTTACTGTCATTCATGGTTACATGTTTGTTTTTCATTTGTCAAGATAAACTCATGTGACATCACAAATATAATCCTCTTTTTTTTGCCCTTTCAATTTTGGGTTATTGTCAAATGGCAAATAGGATGAGGTCTGGGATTCAGTTCTTGAGGTGGTGAAAGTGAGAGTAGGATGTGTGGTTTAGGAGAGGAAGAGGGATTAAAATGGGCAGTATTGGTCTTGCCTGCTGTGAGAAACTGTGTCCGAGGAGGTAAAGGTGGAACATCGGCTTTAAGGGTTGTCTCCTGGTATTTGTTGCTGCTGCAAAGTTGAGAAGAGAAATGTATGAAATATGTTTTGTTCTCAGGTTCAGTGTGAAAAATCTGACCTAAATGAACAGTTCCACATTTTGGGAAATACACTTATCCGCTTTCTTGCCAAGAGTTAGATGGGAAGATTGATACCACTCTCATATCTGACAGTTGAGGCTACATGAAGCTACAGAAATCAAGTTAGCTTAGCTTAAAAGCTCCCTACTTAACATGATGTATCTCGTTTGTTTAAAGTTTTACAGAGGGCTTATGTGCCAAACTCACTTCTCCCAGTCATAGTATAATTTATGACTGCAACTTGATGTTTTTACACTTCAATTTTGGATGGATTAAATACACAACAGATAACATGTTAATTCGCTGTAGGAAGATTTGTTTTTTCTCCTTTGAACAAAGCCAGGCTAGCTGTTCCCCAGTTTCCAGTATTTATGCTAATCTAAGTTAGTTGCTTCATATTTAACAGATTGATATGAGTTTTGTATCAATCGTTTCATGTAACACTTGGTAAAGAGTGAATAAGTGTATCTCTTTAAGAGTGGAGGTATTCCTTTTTACAGTGCGCTTAGATCTAACTTTTAACAATTCTCAGAAAATCCACATATTCAATATCAAATTAAGAAATATCCAGTACAGGACATATTTATTAGCCTACCTGATATTGAAGTCTGATCTTTTGTGAAGATTTGAGATTCTGTGTTTGCCTGTGGAAAAACAAAAACAAACATGCAGTTAAGTTTAAGCTACAGAGAAAAAAACAACTCTTCAAGCAATACGAAAGTCTTATTTTGATGAGTTTATTAAAAGCACAGCCGGAGTATGAGGCAGGATTATGTTGAGATACAAAAATAAGTACAGGACTTTTTTAAGGCAAAATAATAAGGTTCTCATTTACTTTTTTTAAGCAGGACATAATCATGAGAAAACAAAACAATAAACACTCACATTTGCACAGTGGCTGTTACATTAACTCTAAATGTATACGTGTAAATTATGCTACAGTTCATGTTTATGATTATCAGCGGTGTTACTTTTTGTTCCCTTTATTTGCACTATGTTTATCCATACCCTGAACCATCACAGAGCCCCCTCTCTTTGCTGTTGCAGCCCAGTTTCCCCACAGGGATCATTAAATTTTCATCTAAGCTAATCAAATCCAGAGGGTAACCCTAATAATAGCAATTCATACACTTATAATAGGTTTTTCTTGTGCTTTGCAATGAACCCCTCAGAGTAATTCTTTTGCAATCGGTTATGGTTTGGTTTCCCTTCCTCTTCTGGCTTTTTGTTTGTGGTAATACAGTGTATCTGTTTCTCAGTTTTCTAAAAAACACCCAGGTAGTTATTGATATTGAAAATGAAACAAATCTCTACTGCTCACATGAATTTACTGTAAATTTAGGTTTAACTTCCGTATGAACAAGGTAGCCAGTGGTGAAAAGTACATTTACTTTAAATGTTTTCATTACATGTGTTACACTTACATGGACTACTACTTCACTACAAATCAGATTAGAGTGAAAAATAACTTTTTACTTCACTTAATTTTTTGACTGCATTAGTTACTTTGCAGATAAAGATTTTACATCAGTTTAAAAAATAAAATACATTGTCATAAATTAAAATTAGATAAATGTTGATGGTGAAATACTACTGACACATTAATGGATCCATAATGCAGATCATATGATAAAATATATAATTAAAATAACATTCTCAGGGACCATTTATCTACATTATTTATGTTTTTTGAATTTTAATACTTGCTTGAGTTAAGGATCGGATCGGCTACTTCCTCCACAATTGCTGCTGGTTTCACTGACATGATGGCACCAATTTACGCCACTTAGAATTTTTATATACTGCTGGTTTGTGCATCTTATTAACAGCTTCTCACCCTTGTTCCACTCAGAGATACCGCTGTCCACCAGCATATAATGATTATACTAGGAAATAGGTAGCTGTTAACTACACTAAAATACTCTGTTAAAAGTAAAAGTCCTGAATTCAAAATCTTACTAAAGTAAAAGTACAAAAGTATTCATACAGTTAAAGAACCAAAGGTAAAAGTACTCATTATGGCCCATTTTAGAATAATGTATATAATATTACTGGTTTATAAATAGTGATGTATTAAAGTGTAAATCAGTTTAATAATGCAGTTTGTAAAGGTGATTTTACTGCGTATCCTTTTAGTTTAGTTAATTAGTTGATTTATATTTTACCTTAATAGGCATAATCTACATTACGTTACATTCAATCATTTACTCTAATGCTTTTATCCAAAGCGACCTCGTTGGACGTGTCGCAGTGGGAACTGAACCGGGGTCTCCCGCACCAAAGATTACACCCATGTCTAAATCTGCAAACTAGCTAAAGCTATTAGATAAATATAGATGAATAAAACATATATTTTTTTAAGAATGTTTATTTTATACCTGAATCTCTGTTTTTAGTAGAAAACACTTATTTATATTTATTTTGTTCTGATTTTACATTTGTTTTATTGTTGTTTTAATGGTTAATCTAACTGGCAGAGACAACTAGCACATTTACAGTGATGTTGATCAGTGTATGTTGTCCCTGTTAAATAAATAATAAACTTTATTATCATTAATGCAGCACCACATTAATGCCAATGCCAATTCATAACAAAAGTTGTCTCATTTCCCTTTTCATGTACAGTAGGTCTAGATCGTACTCTTTCTAATATTACATCCAACAATTCACGCCATGAGCAAGCACTTCCACAGGAAAACTCCCTTTTAGCAGGTAGAGAAACCTTGAACAAAAACGTGACTCGGGATGGGCGGCCATCTGCTTCGACCCGTTGGGGGGTTGAGGGACAAAGAGACTGAGCGAGAGAGAGCGAGAGAGAGAGAGAGAGGCGAGGCAGGAGGCAGCCAAAACAAAATCCACACAGATACATGTTCATGTCAATAAAAAGTGGTTTCTGTTAGTGGAACATGATTGACATAATGTTTATGCCATGGCAACAATAATAGAAAGTACTATTAGTAGGTAACAGTATTAGATTGCTGTTAGTAGCGCTTCACAATGCTGGTACAAGAAAACTAAGTACAACAGTAGTACAATTAAATAGCAGTAGTAGTTTGTCTATATAAAGGAGTGGAAGTCAGAAGGATGTCTCAGGTCAGGACACTCAAGTTCAAGTCAGGTTGTAGAGTTGTTCTAATTTTGTCAAGCAACATCTGAAAATGTGTGACTCACACTAAACGTACAGTACATAGAGGTTTCACTTTGTTTTCTATTTTTTTATTTATTTATTTTTTGTTTTAACGGGTTCACGGCAAAGTCTGTGGATTTCTGAGTAATGGAGGTCATATCATGTGATGTCAGGTCGACTTTAGTTCTGTAGCCCAAAATCACAAACCTGCCTTGATAACCTTTTTCAATCTGTACAATATGTGATCCCTTCTGTCCTTTTGACCCTGATCTGTTTGAACTGCGAAAAGCAAAGCAAAGGAAGAAACCTTGGGCTACAGAGGAGGGACTCCCCCCTTCAAGGGCAATAATGCAATAAATAACCATCACACAGTGTACACAGAAACAACATCAGTTATGCTTTACTGCTTAGTGCAGGACAAACAAAACAATTTTCACCCACATTGTATCGGGGGTAGTGGGATAACTACAGGACATAGAAAGGGACAAAGTGTGTTTAGGTGTGGAAGATGTTTCGTCCCTTAACATTTATTTTAACAACTTATTTCTGTTATTTTCCCAAAAGAACACCTCTTCTTCAATTCTACTACTCTCTATTATTCAGGATTTAAGAGCATTTGTGCGGTCAGTTAATTTAAATTATTTAAACGTAGATAGTTTTATTTAAACTTTAAACATTTGCTTATATCATCTCTTTTGCTGAGGAAATATATCCTGTAAAAGTATTTTTACAGGATAAATTTTATTTTTTTTGTCCCTGCTGACAGTGTCAAATACATATTGGAGCACTTTTTGTCTTGATGGAGCTTACTTTACATATTGGCTCCACCAGTGCAGTGATGGGCAGGGCCAGGTTTTTGTTTTGCAATTCTGAAGTCATGATTTCAAATTAAGTTTTTCCTATATTTAATATTTTATGTACATTTTGTTTATTGTGTTATGTCCTGAATGCTGTTTCAAAGACATGTCAACACTGCCTTGATTATTTCTGTTAACACTGGCCCTGGTGTGGTGCTAATCACAGGCTGTACAAGTAGGTAAAAAGGGAAATAAATGGTCAAACTCTTATTCAAGTTCAGCATTATATTAAACATACATTACATAATGTGATGCCACTTGGCTATTCGTAAGATCATCAAGTTGTATTACATTTCTATAAGAGAAAGAGGAAAAGGAGAAGTGTGCGAAATAACAAGAAAAAGAAGAAATCATTTCTGTTTTGAGATGCAAACAATGACACTTCCAGTAACGTCTGACAAATGTGTTTAGCAGAGGTTCAACCTACCTTGTCTGGATATGCACTTATTGATGAGAAAAAAGATGAGGCTGATCACCACACTCACGAAAATCATCCCAAGTATCACAAGTAACCAGATGTATTTGCGCAAAAGAGCCATGGATATTCTGCTCTACACCACAAAAGATTAAAGAGGAGAAAAAAAAATATAAACATTAAAGTGAAAAACTCCCACTTAACAACAAGAAAAGATCTGAGCTGCTGCTTTTCAGTATGCTGCACTGTGAATCGGAAAGAAGACCATTCATCACTTCCCCTTTTGCGGGTTGACTAACTCTTATGATTATTTTGGTATATTTACGTTGGCATTCTGAGAACCAACTAAGCCTCTTGACAATCTCGGGACTTTTTTCTTGCGAAGAAATCCACATCCTGCGATGAAGAGACTCTGAAAAGTTGATAACTTTTGTTCTCAGCTAAGATATCTGCGTGTGTGTACTTGACATGAACGTAAAAGGGAAAGGCAATTTTCAAATGAATTGTTCGTGCCAGTGAGTAAGATGTATTTATGGTTCCTTATCTGTATGAACAGAATGACATAAATGTTCTTTTGTTTATCTGAATGTCCCGTATCCTCTTTGCAACAGCTTCCTGCCAATGTCCATCAAAAGACAGCAAGAAAACCACGTGACTCTTTTGGTTGAATTTAGGCCCAATCTTTACTTTTTAGACCCATTTCTTGTTTATTCACTTATGTTATGGGATGATATTTATTTTTAATAATTTGATAAAAAACCTGGATTTTTAGGATTTATTTAAGTCCAAAATTGTATTTTATCATACATTAACTTCTTTCAAAATACCCAGCATGTCCCTTACCTTTCTTAGAAAACAGCTGACAGTCTCACGGCTTAGTTACAATGGTGAGAAGATCTCTGTAAATGGATGATGAAAGTGGATGGTGTGATATGACAAGAGTCATATTGCATTTGCATGACAGTTTCAAATTTTCTTAGGTAGACAAAATAAACTTGAAGGCTGGGCCTGCACTGCCCCCTCCCCACCCTCTGCCATGCTCCAGCGACTTCAACATGTTTGTGTGTACCACACAAGCAAAATGTATGCATCTGTGTGAAGAGTGTGGTCTGAGATAATTTGAGGTGCTTTTGTGAGAGGTTATACTCTAACAAGTAACTCTACTAAAATTTCGAAAAGTATAATACCCATAGCATAATCAATGATGTCGATGTATTTTGACAGCTTAGTCTACAACATTCCATTCATGACCAAGCCCCTTTTTTATTTTCAGTTCCTCTTAATTAAATTAGCATCATGTTACAGTGTTCACCTCATAGTCTTTATAGAATAGACTAAAAAATGCGGTCTTGTTCAGTTGCATTTTTAAAAGTTGTTTATTTATTACTGTTTTTGCGTTAAAAAAGAGATAACTTAAATTTCAATGTGTAATATAATACCAGTTATTTCGCTGACAAAACAAAATCTGTGTTACAATGGTTTTTATCAGCTTTGTAGATTAGATTGTAGATTGTTCCGCTGCAAAAATGTTTTGCGATAAAGAGAGGGAACTTAATTTTGTGAATAAAATCACGGAAACTTGCTTTTATTTTGAAAGGTGATACCAGAATCACTCAAGTTAGCCAAATTTAGTAAATGCCTTACAGGAAATGGGCAGCTTGCCTACAAAATATCCGAATCCGAATCAGATTTATTTGCCAGTAATGTTTACACATACGAGGAATTTGACTCAGGATTGTACATTGCTCACGGTGTGCTTACTCATACAATACAATAACACAATAATAAAATGAAACACAGGCTACAGTACAGAGAACACATACACATTATATAAACAAAAACAAAAACAATATAGACAGATTGACAAATAGTGCAATGAGCAGAGCAAAGGATGCATAAATTATTATTATTGTTATTTTTATTATTATTATCATGTACATGTCGGAGGTGGATGTGATATACAGTGCACATGCACATACACGCATACTTGTACACATGTACACAGTGCAAAGGATGCTGGAATAAATAAGTATTATGTGCAGGTGAATCAGCTTTATTAACAGGCCTGTACATATTTTATTGCAAAATGATAAATTGTGAAAAAAAAAAAAACAATATTAAGATGTTGCTATACAACGGTAACATGATATCTAAAATATTATATATATATAATTTGTTATGCTCTTTTAAAAAAAACAGGCGTCGTCGAGCAGTTACGATGTAGATTTTATTTTGAAAGTTCAACCGGAATACGCTCTCTCCTACCCGTCGCTAGCTTAACCTTAGTTGTGATGTTAGCCTGTTTTCTTGGACACTCGCTTATCCCACTTCCCTGGTAATTGCCTCAAGCCCCCCCTCAGGAAACCATGGCCGAGCAGGCCTCGGGACCCCCTCTGTCGTCCCAACATGACGGTAAATTTCTCGTGTTTTGTGGGGTTTTATGGTGGAAGTGTTGAAGGCTGGCAGCACCGAAGCCAGCGGCCTCTGCATCCTTGACAACATTAGCTAGCGTTAGTTAGCATCATCAGGGCGACGTGTCACTGGCTGTCACTGGATTATATTGATCATTTAACACTACGCAGTTTGTGTATTCATGAACACTGACTTATTTGCGGGAAGTTACTAAAGCTTTATATTGCTGAATATAAGCTTCTGCGTTATTGCATCATAATATAACCAAGCTAACTCTGTTTTGTCTTTACTATTCGCACTACAACCTAGCTGGTTAGCACGTAAGTTAGCTTCAGCTAGTTTGACTAATTTGATCTAAAGGTCGGCCTCTGATTGCCTGGCCCAGCCTTGTGCGTCTCTAACATGGATCATATGGATGTTATCAGTCCATTACAATGTCCTGTGGATGGCCTGCACACTCGGGTGGGTTGGACCATAATACAGGAGGTTGATCCTGCAGGAGGTTTCTCCATCTGGTCCTCAAACAGGGGTCCGAGGACCATCCTGGGGTCCTGCAGGGAATCTGCGCTGTAGCTTTTAGTGAGTGCAAATAGTCCTGGGCGATATGGCCAAAAATGTTCTCGTGTTAAAACATTTGGTGTCATTCGATATTGTTTTAGCACGTTACATTTTTGCTCCGGTGTGAAAGTTAAAGAAACCAAATGGTTAATTGTGGTTTTAAAACTGTTCTTTATGGTCAGAACAAACACTTGATGCCAAACAGTGGATCACTTAACATATCTGAGGTAGAACATTCAAAAACATTATGATAAAATCTTTTTTCTTTTCAATATGCATGAGTAAAATTAAGTAAAATCATCGTTTTCAGTCCCTTTTCCTTAACAAATAAATATCTTAAAAGAAAAATGAAGTGCTAATTTAAAATTAATTAAATCAAACATTTGTTATATTGTTATTGAGTAAAATTATTTTACAATAATTAGCATTTTTGTTATATTTCCCAGCCCTAAGTGCAAATTTAATCTTGCAGAATTTTACCAAATAACAATTTCAGGTTCATCATCAGTCGCTGTTGCAGTTTGTACCCGTAAATATAGCTGACACAAACAGGTATGAAAGTTTTATTGGTGGTGGTAAGCATAACTGTAGGATGTCTAAGAATTATTTTTAATAGGTTTGTTAATAGGTTCTACTTAGCTCACTAATATCTAGCTTCACATTCAGTGCTACAGCAGCAAAGATCTTTCCAAATGCATCATTGGGACTAAAGTAAGGTCTCAGTTTCATCCTGCTGTTTCAGCGCTGTGGGAAACATGAGCGAACCACACATAATGTGATTTTACTGGTGTCTTTTTATGACTGCTTTGAGCATTAAAAAAGCACCCTCAAGCACTCTTTGTTTGACAGTGTCAGGGGGCTGCAAAACATATGTATGCCATGTACAACTCCTCCCTTTGATCATTTGAGGGAGCCCAGTCCAAAAGAGTGTCAGTGTTACCTATCATTTAGTACATAGTGGTATCATCACATAAACCTTGACAAACCTAAAGCACCTGACCCCAAACATGTTTTGCAAATACTATCTTTTGTGCTGTTTCTATCAATCTAAATCGATTTAGTTAAGCCCTACATGTAAAATGATCTGAATCATAGACTGTTTTTGCTTTTCCTGCAATGACCTGTCTGATCTGTCAATTGTATAACTCTATGCTTGTGCCGCTCTGTATGAGTGGTATTAAACTTAGCTATAACAGTAAGTGTCTGGCTTATAGTGTGCAGTTTTGCATAGTTATCTGTATTGCATGTAATATTACAAACGCTCAGAGCTTGAAAACAGTATTTTAAGTGTCTGCATTGGCCCTGTTTTATATGTAACGTTCTCTAATGATCTCCAAAGCTTGTTTTTTTGTACATTTGATGCCCAGTCTACTTTCATTTGCTTTGTTCATAGTTAATAAGCCTAAGCATACTTATTCTAGATGTTGCCACATTTGTGTGTCTGCTGGATGTTGAGTGAAATTGAGATTAATCCATATTTGCATTTTAGGTGAATTGGTGTTGACTGTCTGTTGGTAAATGACCGGCTTTCTTTATATAGAGATTCATGTGATCTTTGTGGATTCCTGAATTGAATGGGTTGAGTTTTTCACACCACGACAGACAGTGTGAGATGTCAACAAAAGTTTGTTTGGGTTGCTATAATTTTAAATCACAAAAGTAAAGCATGCCTGTATTTTGAGTTGGGGGGGAAAAAAGCGGCTTAATGTACTGAATGAACAAATTCACCAGGAAGCCATGTGAGTATGTGTGAAGCTTATGTGGTGATGGAATTTCTGCTTAAGAGTTTGTTCAGCTATCACATGATCGTGGCTGCGTTGTGCTGAACCGCTCTGCTGCTTGTGCTAGTAAATGTTTCCATTCGTCTGCCTGTGTTTGAGGACATCATCATCATTAGACGTAGGAAAACCCTGTGGCTTCAAGCCAGTTTGAAAGACTTTTGATTGAAGGCAACATTTAGGAGGATCTATTGACAGAAATGCAATATAATATACATAACCATGTTTTCAGTGGTGTATAAAGACCCTACATCATTTTTTTTTATTACCTTAGAATGAGTCATTTGTATGTAAATGCTCCGTATTGATGGCACGTTTCTAGTCTTTTCGACCACTCAGAGTGCTTTTACACTACATCTGCATCACCATTCATTCACACCTAAGTGCTCAAACAGAAACTAACACACATTCATACTTTGACATGCAGCCTGGAGGAGCCGGGCATTGAACCGCTCTACCTCCTGAGCCACAGCCGCCCCTTTATCTACATACACCGCGAGTCCTCTTACATGGATGCCGCCATGTTTCACCGCTATGTTTCTACAGTAGCTGAAATGGACAAACAGCTCTACAGAGCACGTTTCATCACTACGTTGAATATAAAGAAGAAGAAGAAGATTTATTTATAATTCATTCATTCATTGTCTTTGTTTGCCCATTGCTGGACAACAGCTGTTGTTGTCCACTTACTTTAGATCTGTTCCGTTTGTTTTTTTTTTATGTGCAACCAGCCTTGGGCAGTAACGAGTTACTGTAATGTTGTTACTTTTCCCAGTAACTAGTTGTGTAAGGGATTACTATTTCCAAAACAGTGATAATATTACAGTTGTTATTCCAAGTAATGCTGTGTTAACAGAACAGAATCCTTAATGTGACTGCATGACTGTGTGGGAGGGTAGCTGCACAGGACCCTGTGTTGTTCAAGTCAGCTGTTAGCCAAAAAGCTAAAGGGAGAATTGTGAACGAGGGAGAGAGGCGTTCTTTCCACAGCAGGTGCAAAGAACATTGTTGTCCGTGGTGCGACCGTTTTTTTTTCTTAGTTTAGATCTATTTAGTATCTTTAATTTAGCTTTAGAGGGATGTTATGTGTGAGGGAATGTTAAAAACTGCCAGTAATATGTTTGGCCTAGTAGTTTATTGAATTTGGTTAGTACAGTCTGATGCTGTGGTTCCTTACCTGCTGGGGGGTCAGGACTCGG